CCCCCCCCTCCTCCTATCGAATTTAATTCCTTGCACGAAGAAAATAAAACACGAGAGATTGTTGTCGATGCTAGCTCGGATTGAAAAAGATCTCTTGCACTTGTGAAGGAGAGGAAGGAAGCAAGAAAGATTTGAAAACCCGTCCGGTAGTTAGACGATTGCGAAGGAAGGCTCATCTAGAGTATATCAACGAAAAGGAAGAAACAAACTAAAAAATGAATGAATGAAGAAATGTGCATCTCGCGTTCGCGTATCCGCGTACAACAAATATTAGTACTCGTAGACGTACATGCGCTTTAGAAGCGCCACGTATATAACGTCTTTTTCCCTCTTCTTTTTTTCTTTTTATTACTTCTTATATGTACATACGTTATTGGTCCGACGAGTGCTTTTTTTTTGTTCGAAGAGAGGACCTATCCTTCCCTCCCTTCTTACAAAAATACACGTGTTACTTTTTGATATACATGCCACGAATACTAGAACTCGAAGATACGTCCGCGAAAAATAAAAGGTCGGTGTTGTCGATGAGATCGTTATCTAACGATTCGGAAGTGCTCGCGATTAGACCAGTGCTGGGCAACCCTAAAAATATACATACAGCCTATACGTATATATGCGATATATACTGTCTGAAATAGCACGTATACTAAGTATTGAATAACACAGCTAAAATCTCACTACAGTAACCTCTTAGTACGCCGATGTACTGGCTACGATCGTTCCTGAATTAAATTTACGGCTCGAAACTCTAAGACATCGGGAATTGCTGTCATTAGCACGAGTGTGAACCCTTCCCTTCGCGCGAAATTAACTTCTCCCAGACGAGAAAATTCCTCTTAAAAGCAGCCGTCTCTCGTTTTGTGCAATTCCATCCTCGACGTTTTATCAGAAACGTATAAACGAACTCTAAAGTTTCCTCGATTAAAAAGAATTTTAGTCTGCACGTTATCTCTACGCAGCTACTTTTAAGTAGCGCACGAAATAAAACGTCCTCGAGAATTTGCAATAAATTATGTGCAGCATAAAAACAACGAAGCCGACTGGCAATTCGCCATACTATCGAATTTCGACGCGTGTAACGAAACTAAAGTATATCGTTGAAGTAAGTAGCCCGACAACGAGCATCTATTTCAAACAGTACACTAATCGTTAAAAAAAAAGAGAAAGAAAATTCACAAAACGTAAAACCGCGCTCGCGCGCATTCGTTCAATTCTTTTTAAATACTCAACCATACATACACACAAACACGCACGCACGCACGCACATACACACACAATTATCGTCGCCAAACGATAACCTACGGTATCTAAACGTGTGCCTTTGCCCAACACTGTGAAAGAGTACGCTTAAAACGAAGAAAAATAAGAAAGAAACAAAAAAACATGAGAGATCGAAAAGAACAATTAACCGATCGACCGGAACTGCAAATTTCTTTTAGGTATTCCTAAAGCTACCTATTTTTACTTAAACATTCATAATAAGCTAAAAAATATACATATCACTATAATTAGGAGCTGCGCGGTCATATGCATGGAGGCTTTAATCACAGCTTTGTAGTACAATTAATATCTCGTGTAGAGCTGCCCAATGACTAGCCGGCAAAAAGATCAATTGCTTTCTCCCATTGCACCACGTTTCCCGATTGGTGGTGAACCAAAAATTGCACATTCGCGCGAGTTCACCCTCTCTCTCTGCGCGCACGATCAATCTAATTGATCGCCTATTTAACTTTAATCAACGCGTTAATCATCATTCGGTTAATTCATCATGTTAATTAATGAAACGACGGACAAAGTTAATCAACTGTCCGGTCAATTAATTCAGCTAATCGTCAACAAGAACGTGCGTTTACGCGGCTCTTCTTAAAAGACTCTATCGCATTACTGCCTCCTTTCGGTGCGTTTACACACACCTTCGTAATGCAAATAGAAATTAGAAAGGGGAAAGAGAGTAGAAAGAGAGTGGAAGAAGGAATGAAGGAGAAAGCGAGAGAGAGAAAGAACAAAACGAAGAAAAGAAAAAGAAAGGGAAGAGAAGAGACGAAAGAGAAAGAGAGTAAACGTTTCACAGTCCGTAACAATAAAAATCAGTCTTACCCAGGTGACTTCGTATCCCTTTTAAATCGAAAGCCTCAGGCATATACGCGCAGGATCATTTTGATCATTTCACGACGCGAAAATGAAAAATCGCCGATACAGTAAGAGAGTAAGAAAGAAAGAAAGAAAGAAAGAGAGAAAGAGAAGGAGAAAAGAGAACCACAATAAAGGGGTTCGAGGCACGCTTAGTGCAAATATATATAGTTATCTTTTCTGTTCAATTTGTGTGTACCTTCGTAGCTCTATAACGCGATCTCGCATACTTAACGTATAATTAATGTGGGTGAGTTGCGTTCAGCACGTGGTTCAGCAACTACCTTAGAATCAATTATTTAAAAGCGCATGATCGCGTATGAGATGTACACTTTTCAGAAGCTAATTCGCAGCTTTACGCGCGGTTGTCATGGTTCCCCCGCGCTTGCAACAAAGCTTGTGGCATTAATTAACAGGAGGTAATAATAAAACTAACAACTAATAGTGCTCGAGGCGGGCACCGAGGCCGCCCGCCTGGATCTCGGCGAGTTGAACTTTCCATTTTACAAGCACAAACGGAGAAACAGATTCGCAAATCACGTCGCGATCCTTTTGTCACGAAGATTCATCACAGAGATCTGTTCTTGACACTTGGAAACATCGAAATGTAAACTCACCGATCGCTAGACCGGTTTCGATCCCCGACTCGAAGAGTCAACAGCCTATTGCGCCTTTTACGTGGTATAACTTTTACGTAGGACGTGCGTCCTCCTACTTCCGCTTTTATATTACACATCTCCGTACGCCATACGTATATGTATATACAATATATATATCTGTGTAGAGTACACCTCGATATGTGGAAAGTAAGTACAACTATGGAACTGATTCTCGAAGCTGCGTGTGAACTATCCTCCGTAAGGAGTGACTCCTATCACGAGCACGGGCAGCTCGTCGCGACGAGCTGCACGTCCGTGTTGCGAGAGGATAAAACGCTCTACGATTTCAAGAAAAAACTGGAGGAAATAGAGAATTCTCGTAGCATTCTCAAGCTAAAGAGAAACCATGACGGCTATATGACGGACCGTAGTCGTATGCGCCGCACGTGGTGTGCCAAAATAAACGCGCGCTCTCGCGTGTGTGTCCTTGTGTATGTGCGTGTGTATGTTTCATGTACGTGTGTTTGTTCGCGTGTGTTTTAGCAATAACGATGGTAATAATTTTTTTAGTATTAATAGTAGTACATAATAGCGGTAGTAATAGTAGTGGTGATAGTAGTAGAGTATAGTAATAATAGTGATAGTAATATATAGTTTGGGGAAATGTCGGTGGTGGTGGTGGTGATAGACGTGGTGAGTACTTAGTTAGAGTAGTAGTAGTGATAGTAGTAGCATCAGCGCGGTATATAGTGTTATTGTTGTTTTGTAGTAAAATTAATAGTAGGGTGTCTACCAAACACACACCTTCGGTAGAGACCAGTGTCGGTAAAATTTCTGACGTTCGCTCCGTGACATTGCTTTTTCTTCTCTCCATTGTTTTGATATCCATCAAAATAGTAAACCAATAGTTTAAACGTTGTAGATAATAATTACTATCTATATCACAGATTCAAGTGACTAAACTCCTTTAAAAATATAATATAAATATGTGTACGTGTTGCAATGTGATTCGCACAATATATATACACACATATATATATATGTATATGTATGCTCGCAGAGACGTGATTAAAACCAGACGAAACACAAGAGTGTGCTGAAACTGCTAAAGACTCCGTGAAAACGTCACGCTTCGGTTTCGACTAGCATCGCGCCAGCGATATACGATTAGCGATCGATCACTCGGGACGTCACGTCTATATCCTCGCGCCGGCACAATCTTGTCGACGATGATGATGATTAAAAAGCCGCGCCTCAGGCAGGTGCTATTTAATCTCGTGATTAAAAGATATTTCGTGAGTATATAAAATCCATTAGATGGACACAAGGTGTGTTGGTGAGCGTATTGCCGCGAGCAACAAATCGATCAACGATTGATCAGCTGCACATCATCGTACCCTTCCCGTGGACCAAAACCGAAAGCATATCCCTAAATCGTGTGACGTATGGAGCATCCATTGTTACGATCCGGAAGTGGACACTCCGGTAGGCACTTTGATCGAACACCGCGATTAAATAGCACCGGTTATACCCGTCTCGCTTTCGGTTGTTGAGAAGTGATCTTAGGACGATGCTAGGTGAAAACTCGCGTTCGTTCAATTGTTACGCTGCATGTACTCCGAGTATGAGATCGTGGGGCTCGTATTCGAGTACTGAGCGTAGAGATAGAGCGCGGGGTGAAGCCCTGGCGGAGGGATACCGCGATGCAGCTGATGCGAATGATGCTGCGACTCCGATGGGTCTAGAGACGGGGACGACAAGTGCGGATAGAGTTGGGAGTTGGGGCTGTCCAAGGAGGAGCCCGTCGTTTGGTAGACACTCTGCGGTGTGGTGTGCTCGTGAGACATAGGTGAGTTAAGTGTATACGGCGATGGCGCCGAGGTGGGACATACTACTTGCTGCGGTGACTGGTGCGACGGCAGGGACTGGGAGGCACTGCTGCCGTCTAAACACTAGTTGGTGGTCTGCGGGTGCAGCAGCGGCAGAGGAAGCTGCAGATTGTTCTGCTTGGCTAAACTGGCGATCTCCGCGGCGATGCCGCCCTTGGCTGTCGCGAGGCCGTCCAACGACGATGGTCCCTCGCTGTAGCGCAGATCACAGACCGGACTCTCGAAGCCGGTACCCGGCGTGCCGCCGCCGCCGCCGCCACCACTACCGCCGCCGCCGCCACCGCCGCCACCACCGTTTCCGCCGCCGCCGCCGCCGCCTGTGCTCTGCGGCGTCGACGGATTGTGATTCGTGTTACCCTGGTTCATGTCGCGGTGCACGCGATTCTGATGCCGTATGAGATAACTGTCGCGTACGAACGTACGTCCGCAGATATTGCACTCGTAAGTGGTGCTGGCGGTGTGTGTGCGGATGTGAATCGCAAACTGGCTCTTGGACGTGAACGTAAGGGAACATCGCTCGCAGACCAACGGCTTCTCAGCCACGTGGCTCCAGCGGTGCGCGGTGACATAGCTCTTGACGGCAAAGCGCTTCTGGCAAATGTCGCAGGCGTACGGCCGCTCCCCCGTGTGTACTCGCTTGTGAGTATTGAGACTGCTCTTCTGAGTAAACCTCTTCAAGCACAGCTCACATTGAAAGGGTCGCTCGCCCGTGTGCGTCCTCATGTGCACTTCCAGATAAGGTTTGCGGCAAAAGCTCGCCTCGCATACTGTACAATGGTAGGGCTTGTTCCCCGAGTGGAGCTTCATGTGCACATAATAGGAAGAAGCTGAGGATAGTACCTTGCCGCAGACCTTGCATGGCTGAGGTTTGGACCGCGAGCCCTCTTTTACAGTTTGCTGTCCCGTAGACTGACGACTAGGTGGCTCCTGCTGCTGCATACCCTGACTCTGCTGCTGCTGCTGCTGCTGCTGCTGCTGCTGCTGCTGCTGACTCTGTTGTGTCTGTTGTTGATTCTGCTGCTGCTGAACCTGCTGCTGCTGACCTTGCTGCTGTTGGCTCAGCTGCAACGTCTGCTGCTGTTGGGGCTGCAGATGACTCTCCTGCTGGGAGAGCTCCTCCCTGTCGTCGGACAGATTCACCATGGAGTTGGATCCGTCCGAACGACTGGAGGCAACAGAGTAGAACCCCATAGGCTCACTCTTGATCTGTTGCTCGAACATGGATGTCATTATGTCGGTCTGCTGTGCTTGAGCCAGCTGCTGAGACTGCTCGTCCTGCTGCTGAACTGCTTGCTGATGGGGGAGCAGAGTCAGGTTGCGCTTGACAAACTGCTCATATCCTGCGTACCAATCCACCTGTGCGCGAGAAGAACGCTAGAGAATGACAGCACGGACACAGCAGCGCTACACGTCCACGGCAGCGTTACCGGGACGGGCCGTGGCGCGCGCGTACGCAATGCACGCGTACGACGATGTCAGGTTAGACCGCGGTCGTTTTTGACATTTATCTTTGACAAGTGACAGAAGGTAGTCGGACGATCAGCTGATTGCATAACTTTTACGCGCAAAGCCTTCGTGCACGGCGCGACGCTGTCGCCGAAGGGACCGTGTCTGCGAACGGTGGCGAGCGACACGAGCCGCTCTATTTTTAAAAAGGCGCAGTGGAGAAAAAGCGCGGAATATCTCGACGCGACGGAAAGCGCGATTTCTCACGAGCCGCGACCAAACGCGCCGCGAGTGGGGGCTGTGTCTCCGTCGCGCGCTCGACAATCGAAAGATCAAAACCTCGTCGTTCTTCCCGATACGAACCTTTGCTTAATGTAGTAATCCGGGTCTAGGGTCGAAAAACGTCGCGCCTCATCAGAGCGCGCGCCTCCCCCGGTCGTCGTGCGGCTTCACGGGCAATCGCGAAACATTTGTATGGCCAAATTGTTTTTCTCCGACACAAAATATAAGATGGCTGCTACTATATTTCGCGACGAGCCACCTATATGCGCGCACACGCACACACTCGTGCACCGCACCGCACCAACGTCAAGTGATGTGCGAGCGAGCCTCCTAATTGGTCGCGCTCCTTAGGCCGGACGCGTCAGCCGCGTCAAGACGTGTTACGCGCGTCATTCGCAGCTGATTGGACGCGATCTGATTGTGAAATTCGCACAGTATGACGTAAAGTCTGACCATCAGTCATAAATCTTTTCACTCGATCTCAAGTTTCTATCGACCGTCTTGCACGCTTTTGTGCTAAAAGCGTCATTCTGTCTTTATCGTATATCGAAGAAAGATAGAATGATGTTTTCAGTACGAAAGTATACTCATGTAATATTTTATATAAAATTATAAAAAATGAATAATTTTGCAAAGTACGATGATTCAATATTCAATAGTAAAGGTTGCTTTCCAACAAGAAACACAACTCGATACAAACATCATTCTATCTTTGTTCCACATTTAATGAATAACAAAGATAGGATGATACTTGTGTCGACTTGTTGGAAAGCAACCAGTTTGTTTGCTAAGATTTTTAGCTAGCGACAGAGAAGCATGAGAGCCATGGACGTAAAGCTGAGTTCCCACTGAGCGCGTCACGCGTCGCGTCGTCTGCCTGCGTCACGAGTTAACCAATCAAATCCTCTAATTGGAATGACGCGACGCACGACGCACTTGTTATAATGGAACGATTTGATTGGTTAACTCGTGACGCGCTCAGTGGGAACTCAGCCTTATGGCTCCTGCACACAGGACGCGGTAATGCTTGCCGCGCGGCGGAAGTTCGCACGACAACCAATCAATATGCTGCTTTCCGTAATAACCTACTAGCTCTTACGGAAAAACAACATATTGATTGGCTGTCGCGCGGACTTCCGTCGCGTGGCAAGCATTACTGCGTCCTGTGTGCAGGAGCCATTACGTTTCATCTTAGGGTGCGTTTCCACTTAGCGCGTCACGCGTCGCGTTGTCTGAGATAAGCCAATCAAATCGTCCCATTTTATTCGGCGTAAAGTTACGCAATAAAATGGAACGATTTGATTGGCTTAACTCTGACGACGCGACGCGTAACGCTCCCTAAGTAGGAACGCACCCTTACGGTTACTGTTACGAAAAGTATGTGTGGCCAGCTTTACAAATGCGCTCACTGTGCATAGTGCGTTCAGCGAACATTGGCTGTGTTCAGAAAACATAGCTGATCAGTGAGTAGTCAGTGATTATTGGTCCTTACTGTTAGATCCCTAATGGCTTCTGCACACAGGACGCGGTAATACCTGCCGCACAGCGGAAGTCCGCGCGACAGCCAATCAATATGTTGTTTTTCCGTAAGAGCTAGTAGGTTATTACGAAAAACAGCATATTGATTGGTTGTCGTGCGAACTCCCGCCGCGCGGCAAGCATTACCGCGTCCTATGTGCAGGAGCCATAACTTTAGACCAATTACATTTAGTCTGTTCTTTTCAACTGCACTGCTGAACTGGTGTAATAAGTTAAAGCGAGACAAGTATATGTTTTCTCACTCTAACTTATTGCACTAGTTCAGCAGTGCAGCTGAAAAGAACAGACCACTTGACTAATTACTCAAACGTTTTGCTCAACAGTTGTGTCTTGTGAACGCACCCAATGACAACACAATTAGTGGTCTGCTCTTTTCGGCTGCACTGGATGCACTGCTGAACTAGTGCAATAAGTTAAAGTAAGATAAGTATATTTCCGGTTTGGACCCAACATGGCGAATTTAGTATCTACAGGCGACGGTGTCCGATCCATAGACTTCTATACAGGGTGTCTGACTCGTACCGTACCAGAGCTAATATATAGCTAGAATAGATCGGGGTGAGTAATGAAATCGGTATCTTTTTTTAAACAATCACGTGATATTTTAAGATATTAACAACGAAAAATTTCTATCGAGTGGCAGTCCACTGGCCAATCAGCACACGCTGCGGTGAAACGAACGTTGTACGCGCTGTAGCATCGGCATGACAGATTAGCCAGCCCAGCCATTATTAATTTCTTATAAGGATTAGATATCAACATATATTTTTTTTATTTTTATAATAAGTTCTCTTCTTGTTATTGTTTTCACCTTGTTATTGTGGGAGTTTTATTTATTTTGATTTTAGTTACACGTCACAATGTATTTAACACACATTTATTAGATGTTTATTACTTCACATACACGATATGCAAACATATGTCCGACGACACGTTTATGTCAAAACGTCAAACACGTATATAAGCCACACACTTACGTCAAGAAGGTCGGCTAACCAACATATATTATTACTTATTCAGTGTTACTAATCCACAGAAATTTAATTTGAGTTACCTAGGGGTTTTCACTGGTACCAACGCTATCCCCTCCCTTTTTATGAATTTTGTCGAGTAACCAGAAAAATGCCAGGGCAGCGATCATGTAACTTTTCCCCTAGGGCGGAAACGTGAAAAGTTTCACGTGAATTCGTGATCACTAAACTCGGTGAAGCGTAGAAACATGAAACTTTTCACGTAAACTTGTTAGCCATGAAATATGCTGGCAGAAAAGTGAAAATCTAGTGACATAATGAATACGGAATATATTATGCTATTGCTGTGATGAGATATAGGAAATAACAATCCTAAAGTTATAACGATGTTTTTAAGGTTATATGTTCTACAACCGATGGATACAGCTGATTTGGCTGATATTGAAATCATATAGAGATCATGTTTAGTGATTTGTGCTTTTCACACATAGAGTTATTTGATTGAGTGAACAATGAAAAAGTTCACGTGAAATCAATAGAATGAAAAGTAAAAAGTGAAAAATTTCGCTCGAAGTTAAGTGATCGCTGCCCAGGTTGCTGTGTTGAGGGATGCAAAAACCGTGCAACCGCGTCGTGAAATGGCGGACGATTGCGGTACTTTACATATCTAGTGACTTTAGCGCCTAGCTATGGCCGTTGAAATCAGGCCGGTAGCCGCCCTCAAGCTTCTCTCTGCTAGCGATATTTTGTTCTTAGAGAACTAATGGAGAATTTATACTGCATCGACATTCGACATACGGCGATACGATATGATTGTAAATATTGCCTTTTCTAATAAGCCAAGGTTTACCTTTTACTGGAAATCTTTCTAGGACTCGATTCTTGACAGCATACGAATGAGATATACATGCGAAAATGTTCACGTTACGTATACTGTAGATTTTCTCATACATATCTCATTCGCACACCGTCAAGAATCGAGCCTCTAAAGATAACAATTTAACCCTACTCAATCAAGACATCTCAAATAATTTAATAAGACTGGCTAATAGTAAATTCGACTGGAATAGTAATTTCGGATCATATCAAAAGAAAAGGACGACGACACGATATCCAATTCTATTGGTTGTCAGGCACAGTATGAATTCTGCATAATAACGAATACACAACGGTGAATAATTTTAAATTACATGTATATCGACCAATCATATGTCGATGATAAGGAATTTCTCATTGGTCGAACGTCGTGACCACTTTGAGTGCGTTCGAGAACAGTGAGTCATTTGAAAAGCACCATATTCACAGAGTGTTCAAGGAGAAAAAAAAATTTGTATTGCTCACAACAGCGACATACACGATACAGTTTGCACCAGGCAATATTAAGACGGTAAATATATATTATATATATAATTATAATTAATTTACTCCCACATAAAATAAATACTATTCAACATTATATAAAATTGTAAAATAAGAAACAATATTGTGTTACCTCATTTGACATAACTATGCATGTCGGAACGAAAGAATTTTATATATCTCAAGATAAATCTCCCGTGCGATACAGATACGCGTATATTCTATTAGATATAGTAAATTTGATGTTGTGGGATGTTTTTAATACGTTCATACGACATATTCAGTTCGGTGATTATAAGGCAATGTGGGACGTCATTGTCTCGACTAATCGTCGTGAAAAAGTTTAAGGGGAGTATTATTGTATATATTGCTGAGGTATGTTAATATATTTTAGTTTGGAAAAATGGCTGTTTCGTCGGAGGATGTCATAAACACAGATCTCAATGATCCTGTAACAAAGGCAGTGGTTGATAATATAATGGGCAATTTGCCTACTAAGAAGCCACTTGTACGTTGTGAAGACTGTGACCTTTCCTTCACAAGCCAAACAGTATTAGATACACATTTACAAGGTGCACGTCATGCCAAACAGGTTAGCCATGAGAACAGATACATATGATACATCTTGTACACAAGATATATATTTAATATCTTTTCATACAGTTAAGATCAAAGAATATAATGGCATCACTTGAAGAGACAAAAATCGGATTTACAAAAGATGAAGAAACAAATGGGTTAAAATGCAATGTATGTAATGTGTGCCTGAATTCTATCCAGCAGTTACAAACACATCTCAATGGTAATGAATATTAAACTTATATATAATTCATATGCAGTGCAACAAATTAAATTCAAAAATTGATATTGAATTTTTACATTTACAGGAAGCCGCCATAAAAAGAAATTAATGAGAGGTAATAATAAATCTTATATGGTAAGAAAAGCACTGCCGTACAGTGTTAGAAATAGTCGCTTAACATATCTGGAAAAGATAGAGAAACACGCTACTGTACTGATTTATAGTTTAATATTGTTCACATTTGCATGCTTGACTCTAATTGTCACTTTCGCTTTTCAACTCTTTGTATGAACTACATATAACTGTGTAAAAATTAACTGCTTGCCACTTGCACAGCTTACATTATTGTATAATTTCAGTGCTAGTAAGTGCTTATGATTGCAATTCATCGCTATCGTGCGTTATCATGTTATTTATTTAGTATTTAATGTTCATTTAAATAAGTATATATATTTATTATTCAATTGCTTACTAACATATTATTGTGAAAAGCAATTAAAATAGACTTGTTCGCTTATATGTTACTTACGCGCCTATACTGAATAAGTTATGTACGTAGTTGACAACAACTCTCAACTATGTTCCATGTACAGGTATTATATATATATATATACACATACATTATATTGTTTGTCAGTATCATATTATACATATATACCTTTGTATTATTTTGTAATAATTATACTTTTTGATTGCTTTTTTATACAATATGCGAAATATTTTATGACGGAAAATAAACCAGAGTAACATACTTTAAGCTATTAAAGCACATACTAGTGTTGCATTTTTTTTTTTAATTTTCACTTCAATTCCTCGAATCGTTCAAAGAAGTAAATGAACACGACACATGTATCATAAATGATTAGATACATATATTGTTTTCTTTAAATTCGCTTTTACGTACTTATTAATAATCGATCTTTTTATGGCATGAATGTAGTGTTCAAGCTGATTTATTATCACATATTTCCGCTTCTGCGGTTGTGATATATAGATAGTGTTGATCGTACATTGATGCTTAGGTGGATGGGATGGCAAAGGGGTTGTCACCCAAGGCGCTTCATTGGCATCGTCAACCAGTAATGAACAACCGCCTATGAAAGGTCCTATGAAAGGGGTTTCACTTAGCTGCGATATATGTATCAAATTCTTCAATTCCCCGATTCAATACAATATGGTATTATACATATATGATTGCACATACAATATGGCACAATAATGTACATTATCGCACACGCATGAACACATATCTGATCTATCCTATTATAGTACATATCCCAGCTAGATTTTTACTAAGATACATACATATATTGTTTTTATGAATTTTCAAGATACATTGCTTCAAATAATTTACAACACACCAGAGTGCACCATATAATATATCATATACTAAACATTTAATATTGCTACTTATTTGCAGCATATGAATTCGGAAAAACATGCTGAAAAGCTGAGGAAGGTTAAGAATCCGAACAAGAAAAGATTTACTCCATATTGGAAAAAAACGAAACCGTATACAACCGCTAAAGGTGAAGTACAATCCTTGTCGAACAACTTTGTGTCGGGCGGTTTTACTTACCAACCGTAGGGAATTTATTAAATAACTCTTGAAATTTTTGCTTTTAACTGACAAATTATGTTCGAATTTCTACCAATTAATGCGTGTGATCATAGTTATACATTTATTATGCGATCGTAAATATTATTTGAATTTTTAAGATACATTGTCTTAAACAGCACTTCTACGAAAATGCGTTGTTTTGTGTATGTTAATCAATCGTGTTATTGTTATTAGTATTAGCCAATTTTGAATATATAAAAGTTGCACGGAATTCATCGTTGCAACTGCAGCAAATGTAACTTGAAAATTATAGTTTTCTCATACATGATTTATATATATATATATATATATATATATATATATATATATATATATATATATATAT